CTCCGCTATTTGTATTTCATTTTTTAGTCACGAGGAAACAGAAGCTCAGGAGGGGGTGTCACTGGGTCAGCTACGAGAAGCCAGAGCAGTTGAGACACGGGGCCTCCGACTGTGTCTCCTCGCCCTGGGTGCTGGGGGTTTGGGGGTGAGGACGGGGAAGAGGGCTGCCATGGAGGGACCCGCCTTTCACGCCGACTTAAGGACTCGCCTGCCCACGGCCCCTGGGGGTTCTGGGTTCCGGGGTCAGAAGAGCACCCTGAGTGTGGCTCAGGGACCAAGGACAGTCTCTGTGCTGCAGTTTCAGAATGAGGAAGGCTCCTGCTTGTGAACCCCTCCCTCCCACACATGCGATGCCTCGTTCAGACTGGCCGCCCGTCTGCATTCTGGGGCAGGTGTCAGTGAAAGACGTTGGGCGATATGCAGGCAGCCAGCACACCAGGAAGTAGCGCTCAGTGCCTGCCTGTCCTTTGCAGAATCTGCAGGCTCCCAGGACCTCCTGGGGCGAGAAGGCTGCCGATCTGTCTGCCGTGACGTATAGTCTACTATGGGAGCACCGGTGTCTGGCGTGGCGTGGGGGCTGGCTGTAAGAACGCTGTGAGACCACTAGAAAAGTGTCACGTCCAGGGAGACCACCTTTTCCGCTGCCCTGCCTGATCCACAGGGTTTTGTTGAATATCAAATAAGAATTAAAATAATGATGATAGCAGAGCCTACCTGGAGGTTATCACTGCCTCCCGAGTGCTTTGCAAACAACTCCCTGGGGAGGGGAGGGGAGGCCTCATCACTTTGACATTAAGCCAAAGTATTAATTTCCCTAAATTATCATGCGTGGACCCTGTGTTCTTATAAAATGGAGGAGCACAATGATTTCTGCATGACTTTTTTATTTTTTGCAAATGTGGGTGAACCTTGCCATCTAGCTCATCCTAACAGGACCACACTGTTAATCAGGGGCACGATATCACGCGCGCTGAAACATTCCAATTCAGAATAGCTCAGCCCTCCATAGTGTTTTTATGGGTCCATTACAACAGCCGTGTTGCACATTTGTTAAGTGATTTTATTCTATTTTTTTAATTTAATTTTATTTTTTAATGTTTATTTATTTTTGAGACAGAGAGAGCAGAGCAAACAGGGAGGGTCAGAGGTGGGAGACACCGAAGCAGGCTCCAGGCTCAGCCTAATCAGCACATCCCTACGTGGGGCTATTCAATGACCGTGAGATCATGACCTGAGCCAGAGTCGCGCGCTCACCGACTGAGCCACCCAGGCACCCCAAGGTTAAGTGATTTAGAACTAGTGAATTACGCTATGTCCAAGAGTGGTCTGTAGACTCTGTTCTTCCTTAAGAAGATTTCTTTTTTTTTTTTTTTAATTTTTTTTTCAAGTTTTTATTTTTGGGACAGGAGAGACAGAGCATGAACGGGGAGGGGCAGAGAGGGAGACCTGGAGGGAGACAGGCTCCAGGCTCTAGGCCATCAGGCCAGAAACATTCGCCTGGACTTCGAACTTCATGGGACCGATCGTGATCCTGGCTGAGTCAGACCTTAACCGACTGCGCCACCCAGGCGCCCCTTCCTTAAGAAGATTTCCTAAAGAACACACACAAGTTCATTACCTTCTACCTCAGACATAGTGGGAGAGCCATTCTTTCTCCAGAATTGTGCAAGCTAGTTCCTGTATAGATTCCTGTTTTGAATGGTTCCTCATAGGTCATCCTGTGATTTAAGGATTGAATACTTTGTCCCTAGCAAGAACCAGGCTCTGCTCAAACGCTAATGAATAAATGCAGTCTTTATCCTATCGCTTCCTTTGCACCCAGCACATGGTGGGGGGTGCCTGGTCTAGTTA